AGTGATAAAAATAATGATAAAAATAATTTTAGTAACAACAATTACAAAAGTAGAAAATAGTTATAATAATAAAAAAATTATAGTTACAAGAGTGATAACAATGAAAATAATAATAACAATCCTTAGGCTAGATCAAGGCTAGTTGTTGCTTGTGCCAGCGGGAAGTAAGAACAAAATAGAAAAGTTCTTGTGGAGCAAAATACCTCAGAGAAAATCTCGTTAAAAAATCTAGAGCAGGTTTTCAAATGAATCGAAAAATAGTCGACGCTAATAAAAATGTTATACCCCAGGAGGTAACCTTTCAGGGTAAATTTAAAAGGTAAAGGCCATGGTGACTTGTGTTAGCCTTGCGAATTTTGGATGAAGCCACAAAGGCGTTCAGCATAAAAGAAAAGAGACAGCTTCGTATAAAAAACACTCACAGAAGGGTGTCACATTTTCGTCCATCCATGGACAAGACAGGCTGCTAAGCACAGGAAGTGCAGCGAGCAACGTCAGTGCTGTCAACTTATTCAGCAACAACACCAAGATGGATCTGGAATATACCAGCAACTTAAGATCAGAGCCTACTGTCAAGCAGACAAAGGAGGCCTAGCATTAACAGAACTTGAAATAATCATTAAAAATATGGTGGCAGCAGCAACAACAACGTACACAAAAACAGTGATATCAATAAAGGAAGGTAAGAAAGTGGCGTTAAGTTTAATGTACAAGTTAAGCCATGAAGAAAGAAGAAAAAAGATGGCAAGTTTTCTTAGAATAAGCCAATAATAATCCAACGAGAAAGATGTACTAATCGGAAAAAAGAGAGAGAATCACACGCTTTATTTAACCCAGATTCATGAAAAAACGTTGCTGGCAAGCAAACGGAACAGGAACCTAGAAGCTTCCAAGAAAATCCAAAATCTTTTTTCAAAAAAAAGGAAAAAGACCAACGAAAACTAAGAGCTTATACTTGAAATGACAATCAATAACAAACAAGATAATGATAAGAAAAAGGATAAGCAAGTTCTCAGTAAAATCGTGGAAGGGCAGAGCTTTGCTAAAATCCTGAAAAAGATGAGGGCAAAGTTCATGCAAAAAGGGGCTGACATTGCAGTCACAGAAGTCACTATGACTAAAAAGGGTGAGCTTCTCCTCAAAGTTAGAAGAGTAACGAACAAAGGGGTCCTTGTTAGCAGTATATCTAAAACCGTGAAAGGGCTAGGATTTGTTAACTATATTTACAAAGATAATAAAGATTACATGATTTATTTCTGCTTTATAATTAAANGATGCAGCGTAGTTGGCAGTTCATTCAACAAAAAAAAAGATAATTTTCTACAAATAAACTATTATATTTTGCAACTGTTGACATACAGAAAAATCAAAATAATTACCATGTGGATAGGCAACGCACGAAGCAATGGTTTTAGAAAGGGCACCAGCGGCCATGAATTCAAGAAAATCGCGCGATGATTTAGAGCTGGCATCTATTGTGGTCATGCTGGTACGGTGTGTGATTAACCACGTTTTAATTGCCTCGTAGATGACAAAGTGTACCACTGTTTCACTAATTCCGAAGTATGAAGCGACAATGCCCTTGTAAAAGCCCATTATTCCCTGAAAAAAAGTTTGGACATGTATTGACTTGTTTTTTTTAACTAATTTATAATTTATTAATAAGTATGAATTATAATTGAACCTTATTAATTAATAAACAGTAAATAAATATGAAAACTAGAGATTAGTTACGAATCCTACTAGAAAAAGAAGAAAAAGGTTAATCTTTAATAGAAGTCGCTTGTAGCAAAGTGGATAAGGGACTTAGCTAGTGTTGAGAAAATCACTGGTTCGATTCTCGAAGAAAAAGTTAGGGTCAGCGCGATAAAACAGAAAATTTAGTAGCATATTTTTTAAGGTCATTTATCTGAAATCTTTAGTTTTAAAAACCATCAACTCCAATTTCACACATGTTTCTAATTCATAATTAAAATGATAAACTTTTCATCCAAGTTAGAGTAGTAGGGGGTTGGAGCGTTTAGCGCGGGGGGCGGAGCTCCACTAGTGTATACATGTATATACGTATATACACATACGTTACCTACAGTAAATCTAGCAACTGTAAGTGGCAACACTACCTTTACATTGCTACTATTACAATTATTATTAATACTATTACCACAACGCATGGACCATTGATTCAACTAAGCATTTAATCCAAATGTTAAGAGATTTTTACCACTTTTTTGCAGTAAGGTTGACTGAATAAACAAACGGTGCCTAGGATTAGTAAATATTAGTAATATTTTATCTTACTATTCATATTACAAGCTGGATGTGGAAAGTGCCAATTTTAAAGTGGATGAACTAAAGCAGCTGTAGCCAATTTGATTTCCAGGTACTGTTTTTACTCTAAGATTTTCTACCAGCAAGCTTTCCTGCATTATTTTCGAGCGAGCGTGTAACCAAGGTCCGCTACTCCTTATAAAATAACTTGGAGGCTCCGATAAACGACAGTTCTTACTTTTACTCTGAAACAGTCGACTAGGTAGTTACAGTCTGTTTCTGCTACCATACGGTCCTCCACGAGTGTGGCTTCTTTTTTTGATTTGGACATCTCCCAACTGGTTTTTTGCATGTACAACCTTCAGATTCAGAATAACAGTTAGTTTGTTTGAGCATTACTAGCTTTTTAGCTTTTCTATTTTCTAATGTAGATGTAACTTTTAGGCCATACACCAACTATTAGAGACGGTAGTGGTAGCCTCTAGATCGGACGTGAATTAAGACATACCTTGCACTCTGTGTAATCTTTAGAGCGTGAGACACTACTCGGGATGGTAGTAATAGCCTCCAGATCGCGAAACGACATACCCTATGTTTTTCTACTAGAGTGTTCACCAGCACTCTAGGCAGTAGTAATAAGTTCTAGGCGCGTCGCGACGATTTGAATATGATTCTTGAGTGCGCACTGTTGGTCAGCACAACAGCCACTCCAAACGGTAAAAAACTTGATCCCTACTCAAAGGTATTTGTACCTTTTCGCTCGAGTCGACGGAGGTGACTGCGATTTCTTGTTTAAATATTTTGCTACGTACTTTTGACAATTCCTTAGGCCCACGTCTCACCTACGCACCCTGTGTACATCGTGGGTTACTAAGCGCAAACCAAAACAAAACGTCGTGCCAACGTTACACATGTCTACACAGTTAAAAACGTATACATATATTAGTAGTCAGTTTAGTCTTTATTATGACAGAGAGCCTGATAGAAATTAAGGACTTTGAGAAGCCTGGAAATTGTTGTATACTTAAGAATCTGTTTCCTTTCTCTAAATGGTTTGAGCTGTCCTATCATAGAGTGGATTGATAATCAAATTATATTGACTACACAGAAGTTTGTTATGCTTTTCGTGAAAATTGTTAAGATGCTGAGAAGTTTTAATAATTGCAAAATAGCTTAAAAGGTTTAAATATCAAGTTAATAGTACGGGTAAAAGTCCACAGTTTGAACTTTCAACATTGGCTACTGCATGTCCTTAAAACAACAGTGCGTGTATACCTAGGTATGGCACCCACAAGGTAAAACGAACAAAAAAATTGCACTTTCATATGAAGTACGAAGATGTTCGTAATTGTCAAGGACAAGTGCAATTAAAAATCAATAAAACTCTATTTATGTATCTTCAGGAAACTAACTAAAATTAAAATATTAAGAACCAATGATTTATTCTAATAAAATAGACATGTATAAAACGAATGTACAAGAATTTTAGTACATAGTAAAATTCAGTTCATAACGCGGTATTAAACGCAACATGTACGTTTTTATTTTACAGTTAGTACGATGTTTTGTTGATGAAAAATAGAAGTGGACCGTTACACATTATGCTATATACATTTACGGTTTTGGTGGCAGTTCTCGACAGTTTATACCAAAAAAAGGCTGCATATATTTTATAACACCAGTGATTTCTCATTGAATTGTGCAATTTTTTCAACAATATTAAAGCATTTAAAATCGTTGTCTTCTGCGTTGTCATCGAATTTAAGTGCCTAAGATTTTTACTTGATGGTCTACTTATTAGTAAAACTTAATTTTAAACGTTTTTTTTTTCATAAAATTTATGGATGCTCTTGAATAAAAAGTAAAGATAAGATGCAGCGTAGTTGGCAGTTCATTCAACAAAAAAAAAGATAATTTTCTACAAATAAACTATTATATTTTGCAACTGTTGACATACAGAAAAATCAAAATAATTACCATGTGGATAGGCAACGCACGAAGCAATGGTTTTAGAAAGGGCACCAGCGGCCATGAATTCAAGAAAATCGCGCGATGATTTAGAGCTGGCATCTATTGTGGTCATGCTGGTACGGTGTGTGATTAACCACGTTTTAATTGCCTCGTAGATGACAAAGTGTACCACTGTTTCACTAATTCCGAAGTATGAAGCGACAATGCCCTTGTAAAAGCCCATTATTCCCTGAAAAAAAGTTTGGACATGTATTGACTTGTTTTTTTTAACTATATAATACAAATACATTTGTGTTATTTAAGAGAGTTTTGTCGTTTGATGTCATGTCAAATAAAAGTTGCACTAATTATAAGGATACATATTATAAAAAGAAAAAAAATACATAAAATATTAGCCAAATTAGTAGTTTGCAACATTTTCGTAAAAATTGATTAAATAAATCTGTTACCGTAGTGAAAATGATAAATAAAGGTCATCGTAGAAACTAATTTCGGGCAGATGCAGCAGAACTCAAAAAGTTTGTATCTTATTGGTCACTAACAATACAAAAAAATTTTAAGCTATTAGAAATCCATTTCTAGTGTTTGTTCATTCCAGCACAAAAAATATGCCATTTCTCGTAAAATGATCAACATACATAAGTAGGTTTACATATTTTTACATACGTTTTTGTAAGTAAATATGTTAACACGTATGTAAATGCATACATACAGTATATGTAAGTAAGTTTATTTTATCTGACACACAAAAACTTAGCCCCTGGTATGACTCATAACTCATACGAGTCCTTAAGATAAAGCATAGCCAAACCACCATCACTACTATTGCCTCACTTTGCACACGTATTCTAGTCAGTTAGCTACAAGCACTCCAGATAGTCGCACTAAATGTGTTATAATATGGAGTTGTTATTATAAGCTTCTAGTACCTAAAGCAACATAATTGTTGATTCCAGTAATCACAATTAGAATATTTTTCTAGATTAAATATTGCGTATTGTTATTCACAATTATTATTGTTATTTAAATCACACTTTATTTTTCTTCATTAACTTTTGTGAGATTTTTTACTTATTCAACACATTTTGTAACTATCAGAAGATTCAAGTTGAAAGAAAACTTGAAACTTACAAATAAAAGATTATAGTGGATGAAATTAAAGCGAAATTCTTTTTATCATCCAAAGCTCAGGCCAGTAAAACAATGATGGTAAAAGCAAAGACAAATTTTGGGACAAAAAGAGAGTTTTTTTTTATTCAGATAATCAGCAAATCGCTAAACACTCAGAGCTGGTGAAACTGTCCAAGATTGTAAGAGCAGTAAAGAGTCTGAATAAAAAAGGAAAGATATGAAGAACTGCAATTACGTTGACAGGAAAGCTAAGAAAGTGATACTCGGCTTAAAAAAGTTATGTCCTATTTGAGGATTATTATTAAGAGGCAGACGATAATCCTCCAAACCCTACCAACAGCAATCCATTACCTCTTCCTCATGATAATCTAACCAAATTTATCGTGAATAATATGATACTCAAAGAATTTAAAGAAAAAACTAAAACACAAACATCGTTTCATTTGTTTATTTTCAATTGCCGAAGATTAAACATAAAAGAAACGCGGTTTCCATAAGAGTGAAAAGTATGTTTGGAGAAACCTGCATTAGATTGGTTTAAATCTTTATTTAAAACTGGTGCTCTGATAAAACCTTAGAGTTATGAGGTGGAATCTTTTCTAGATACATTCGATAAAACATCGTTGCATCAAATTTAAAAAGCTGACTCTGCAGGTTGGGTGGTTTTTAGGAGGAATTTTTTTTTTGGGAAAGAAAAGTCTCCTAATTGATGTAGATTCAGAGCTCAGCATAAATTTCCGAATGAGTTTTATTCTTCTCACTTTCCTGAAGTGTATTAGATCGTATTTGAATAAAAAAGTTTAAATAAAGATTAAGAACCTTACGTCTGTACTCGAACCAGCAGTAAACACAAACTTTAATGCGAAAAAATCCAAGTCAGATATGAATCAACAGAAACAAACGCCCGCACTATGTAAAATTTGCGAGAAAGTTTAATACGCAAATAGATTTTACCCGGAGAATTCACGTAAGAACAGAACAAATACAGCTGTTATAAAATCAACAGAGTCAAAAGTGTAAATACGATCCCACTTACATAATTAAATGTTCTAATTAAAAATAATAGGGCCGTTGCGCTATATAATTCTGGAACCAATGTATCATTAGTGAACTTCGAATTTCGTATATTACAATCAACAAAAAAAATAAGCACGATCGAAATGATACAAACATTGAATGGGCCGTTCGATGCGTACGGAGTATAAACGGCACATTCAGAGATCCTTAATAGAAAAAAACAAATTTCATTTATAATTATTTAAAGCGATTTGTTAAGATAATTTTGAGATCGGCTTGGATTGTATTATAAAGTTTTGTTTATGTTAAAATGAAAATTTAGAAATTGTTCAGAGTTTTAATTCAACTACTGTAAATGTAAACATAAGAGACAATCACAGGGTGAAAAAACGCTTAAAAATTAGAGTGTAAGTAATAATTCAAATGATCTTTTAACAAAACATGATTTATTATTTGCCAGACAAAAACTTGATATAAGTACGGTGAAAAATTTTAAAGCAACAATAAAACTAACTAAAAACAAATACATGTCAATTAAGTCGTACAAATGCTTTTCTCCAAACAAACAAAAAATAGAAACACAAACAAACTATAAAATGCAGAATTCGTGGAAGAGTCACAAAGTCCGTACCACTTGCCAGTAACTTCAGTTTACAGAATAAAAGATGGAAAAAGATTACGATTGCGTATGGAATATTGTAAATAAAATGGAATTGTACTTGCTGGAGGACAAACGTTCCCTAGAATTGATGATCTTGTAAAACGTGTACCAAGGTGTATTTACTTTTTAAAGTTTAACATAAATTCAGCTTTTTGGTGTATTCTTTAACGAGATAAAGATCAACATAAAATAGCTTTTGTGACTTATCATGGTCAATGACAATAAAAATGTTTACCTTTTAGCTTGAAATAAGATCCGGCTATGTTTTAACGAATTTTTCTCAAACATTATTATAAACAATAATAAAGACTCCTTTGTTATGAATTACGTAAATCATATTTTTAATTTTTTCAAAAAAACTATATAGATCATTTGAAACATGCACACAAGACTCTGCAAGTTTTACGAGAACATGGTCTATAACGAAACGCAGGAAAATGTATTTTCGCCCACAATAAAACGAAATACTTGGAATACATAATACCAAACAATAGCATGAAACTGATGAATAAAAACTTGATAGCAATTAATGATACTCATGCGCCTAAACAAAATTACAAATCAGAAAATTTTTAGGTAAACTGAATTTCTACTTGAATTGCATTCCCAAGTCAGTGACTTATAGAACATTACATTAAAATCCTTACATACAGAAAAAAAAGTTATGCATATTTCTCATGGTGCATGTGCAAATAATTCACGACAAGAGGACACTAGCGTTGAAGGCATCAAGCTATACGCTTTTGTATCAATGCAATCTATGCTTCGTTTGCAAGGACTGTAACCGTCGATTACGGTCATGAAACTGTTGGTACGTTCTCATGTTAGCTACAGCCTATATCCATAGTGTACCAGATCCCGAACGCATGGACTGTAGCTGAGGATGAAACGCAGGAACTAGCATGGTACATTCATATGTATTATACAGCCTTACTATATAGCAGTTGATGCTCTAAACGCATGAGCTGTAACCGTGGAGAAACCCTATGTAAGCATTGGTATTTTTATCATCGCCCACTTGCGTTTTGTCACTGCTCTCCCTGTGTCTATATATATATTTGCATATGACTGACTATGCCACAACTGAGTGCTCGAACGACGTTCCTAGCCCTGATGCATAAACCGAGGTTAAATATATATACATATATATA